ATTCTGTGATTCTGTGATTCAGAAGGTCCTGTCTGAAGAAAATTATTGAGGTCTGTTGTGGTTTTACCATGCTAGGCAGCTAAACACCACAACTGCTCTCTCATTCCCCCTCCTTAGATGAGGAGGGGAAGAAGTAAAGAACAACTCACGGGTTGAGATAAGGATAATTTAATTAAAGGGAAATAATAATAATTAAGGAAAGATTATTATTAACTAAACGATTTAACTAAAGGGGGAAAAAAAAGGAAAAAAAAAAAAAGGCTATGTGGAAGTGCAGAGGAAAGAAATTACTCTCCTTTCCCACAAATGAGCAATGCTTGACCACGTCCTTGAAGCAGGGCCTCAACGCACGTAGCCGGTGTTCGGGAGGAGGACCAACGTTTTCATAACAAGAGCCCACACCACCCCCCTTCTTCTTCTTGTTTCCACCTTTTATTGCTGAGTGTGACATCATATGGTATGGAATATCCCTTTGGTTGGTTTAGGTCAGCTGCCCTGGTGATGTTTCGCTTCTCACTTTTTGCTCACCCCCTAGGAGGGTTAGAGAGAGTCTTGATGCTTTGCCAGCACTGCTCAGCAGCAGATACAACACTGGTGTGATAACACTGCTGTTCTAGCTACAAGTGCAGAGCACAGCACTGTATGGGCTGCTGCAGGGAAAGTTAACATCCCAGCCAGACCCAGTACAAGTTTTTTCTCACAATTTGGGGGCTCATCCAGGATTTGAACACAGGACCTTATTTCTCACATTGGTTTTCAAAAACGTGAGGGATCGGCAATTTCCTAAGGCAGGTCTCCAGCCCTAACACTTCCAGGGCAAACAGAGATAAAAGGAAAAGTCAAAGGAAAAAGACACAAACTTATTTTCACTTCTCTTTCCTGCTGTCTAGAACAGGTCACATCTTCAAAACGCATTTGCAAAGAAGAATACTCATTCAGCTTATTCAGTCTGGAAATCCTCCAAGCTGTATTGTGCCCACTATGCTTCAGCCTCTGCTCTGCAAACCACAACAGCTCTGAACAGCCTAATCTGCTGTGGACCACTGTCTCCTTCCAGTACAGCTACAAATAGCTTTAAATCATAGAATCATAGAATCATAGAATATCCTGAGTTGGAAGGGACCCTTAAGGATCATCAAGTCCAACTCTTGACACCGCACAGGTCTACCCAAAAGTTCAGACCATGTGACTAAGTGCACAGTCCAATCTCTTCTTAAATTCAGACAGGCTCGGTGCAGTGACCACTTCCCTGGGGAGCCCGTTCCAGTGTGCAACCACCCTCTCTGTGAAGAACTTCCTCCTGATGTCAAGCCTAAATTTCCCCTGCCTCAGCTTAATCCCGTTCCCGCGGGTCCTGTCACTGGTGTTAATGGAGAAAAGGTCTCCTGCCTCTCGACACTCCCTTACGAGGAAGTTGTAGACTGCGATGAGGTCTCCCCTCAGCCTCCTCTTCTCCAGGCTGAACAGGCCCAGTGCCCTCAGCCGTTCCTCATACATCTTCCACTCCAGGCCTTTCACCATCTTCGTAGCCCTCCTCTGGACACTCTCCAACAGTTTCATGTCCTTTTTATACTGTGGTGCCCAGAACTGCACACAGTACTCGAGGTGAGGCCGCACCAGCGCAGAGTAGAGCGGGACAATCACCTCCCTTGATCTACTAGCGATGCCGTGCTTGATGCACCCCAGGACACGGTTGGCCCTCCTGGCTGCCAGGGCACACTGCCGGCTCATATTCAACTTGCTGTCTACCACGACTCCCAGATCCCTCTCTTCTAGGCTGCTCTCCAGCGTCTCATCGCCCAGTCTGTACGTGCAGCCAGGGTTTCCCCGTCCCAGGTGCAGGACCCGGCACTTGCTCTTATTGAACTTCATGCGGTTGGCGATCGCCCAGCTCTCCAACCTATCCAGATCCCTCTGCAAGGCCTTTCCACCCTCAACAGAGTCCACAACTCCTCCAAGTTTGGTGTCATCAGCAAACTTGCTCAAAATACCTTCTATTCCTACATCCAGATCGTTTATAAAAATATTGAAAAGTACCGGCCCTAAAATGGAGCCTTGAGGGACCCCACTGGTGACCGCCCGCCAGCCTGACGCAGCCCCATTTACCATAACCCTTTGGGCCCTGCCCGTTAGCCAATTGCTCACCCATCGTATGATGTTTTTATTTAGCTGTATGGTGGACATTTTGTCCAGTAGGATCCTATGGGAAACCATGTCAAAAGCCTTGCTGAAGTCCAAAAAAATCACATCAGCTGGTTTCCCTTGGTCCACCATACGGGTGATCTTATCATAAAAGGAAATCAGGTTAGTTAGGCAGGACCTACCCTTCACAAACCCATGCTGGCTGGGACCAATGACTGCTTTGTCCCCCAGGTGCGCCTCAATAAGTTCGAGAACCATCTTCTCCATGATTTTACCAGGCACTGACGTGAGACTGACAGGCCTGTAATTGCTAGGGTCTTCTTTCTGACCCTTCTTGAAAATCGGCACAACATTTGCCAGCTTCCAGTCTACCGGGACCTCTCCAGATTCCCAGGATCGTTGAAAAATAATTGAGAGAGGTTCCGCGATGACATCCGCCAGCTCTTTCAGCACCCGGGGATGAATCCCATCCGGACCCATGGACTTGTAGGGATCCAGGCGGAGTAGCAAATCCCGCACACGTTCAGGGTCGGTTGGGAGTTTGTCATCCCCACCGTCCCGGTCCTCCAGCTCAGGGCACCCTGGGTCCCGAAGCCCATCATCGGCATTGAAGACAGAGGCAAAGAAGGCGTTAAGCGTCTCTGCTTTGCCTATGTCATTGTCTGTGAGGAGTCCTTCCCTATCAAGGAGCGGCCCTATGTATTCTTTAGTTCTCCTTTTTCCATTCACATATCTAAAAAAACCCTTTTTATTTTCTCTCACAGACACAGCCAGCTTCAACTCTAGATTAGATCCAGGTTACCAAACAGTTTCTTGGATCAGGGTTAATTAAATGAGTGTTGAAATCTAATTAAGGACTGGTCCAGGTGATAATTAGCAGGAAATGTATGCATTAAAATATTCATTTGTCAATGAGCTGCAATTAAGAGTGTGATTTGAGGAAGGATCAATAACTATATCATGTGATTTAAAAAAAAAAAAAAAAAAAAAAGTTGCCCAGTCTTGAGCAGAAATGTGGGGGAATCTTGACTGGATTTTTTTTTTAATCCTCCCCTTCCCCCCCTTCACTCCTGTGTTCTGTTTTGCTCTCATGATAACTTCTGAAGACTGCTCTCCACCCTTGAATAGAGCATTCATCTCTCCCTGCCTTTGTTTTCCTGAAGTACTTCTTTCAACCTCTTCTTCTTCACCACATTGTTCAATTGGGTTATAGATTTATTAGAGAAAGAGTAACAGGTCAAAAAGAAAGATTCTTTGCCAATGAAAATCACTTTCTTCCAGAGCAGGCTGCTAACCCAGGCAAACAATGCTCATTGTGTGGCCTTAGATTGTTTTCTTTTTTAGCAAGTTAATTCCTCAACTCCTTATTCATAACTGAGGATCTGGAGAGGCTATTGAATATGCAAAGCCTGGATTTATATATATGGTACGTCTGTAGTTGTTGTTTACTACACTATTCCCAATTTCTCATGGAGCAACTCTGCTTTCCCTGAGACTGTTTTTGTTCTGGTTGCGGGTACATAGGTGTATGTGTAAGCGTGTTAACTACACTTTGTGGGACTGTGTTAATTACAGTCCCACGTAATCCCACCTCTGCAGGAACACAGAGGGCCCCACAACAACCCAGCTCCTCTGGCACGGAATTGGCATTCCCCTATTGCTGACTGTATTTCCATCAGTGAATACCAGTGTGTCAAAAGGGAAGTGTACCATGGGAACATCATGATTTCAGCTGCTCTTTGTCAGTCTCCTGACAGCTCACCTGCCCTTCTCCCCAGGCATGGTGGCAGCCTAACTCCCAAGGCAACAGTCTGCCTGCTGTCAGGGCTGCATCCCTGTCCCCCTGGGGAGACTGCGCTGTAGGGAATCAAGCAACCCATGAAGTGAGGAAGTCCTTGGAGCTAGCCAAAACAATCTCAGTGCATGCCTTCCTAAGCAGATCTATTTCTTCCCATCTATGCCTCCTATCAGAAATTTAAGAATCACAGTCACTGACCTTTCATCTCATTTTGGGGAGGAGAGGGATTCCTTTCATTCCCAAAAGCTCTACATTTTTCAGACTCCTGCAGCCATCTGTCACGATCATCAGTAGTTCTGCATTAGTGTTGACTGCAGACAGAATCCAAGCATTGTGTAACTTGCCCAGAAAAAATGTAAAAAAAAAACAACATTTGGCCATTTGGGCTCTTTTGTAGTAGCCTCTCTATTCCCTGCTGTTCATGGATGGGGAACTCAGATCGATCAGGTCCTATTTTTGCTCCCCTGATTTAATAGTGCTACCTAGATGCTGCTTGGTGAGGGGACTTCTGCCCTACCCCGCATACTGAATCCTGCCTCGAAGGCTTGGCAGGGTTTTCGCACTAGACATAGGGGTTATGAGACACCACAGTGTGGAAGAATGTGACCATCTTAGTGGTCTGGCATGCACAGAGCTAACACATTCCGTCAATTCACAAATCCCACAGCATAACTCCAGCAAAAGCTTCTACATTTTGCGGCTCCCAGGTCCTCGCCCTCTGTTGAGAGCTAACAGGCCAGAAGGTTTTCTACAGTTTGAAAGAGTAAGGCAACAACTTTTGCAGAGAGTATATTTATGACAGACTGGAAGTTTGAATTTTGGAGGAAACTAGGAACTGGGCTGCTGGCCTCAGATGTTCATCCTCCTTAATGTCCTTTTTTTCCTTATGCCCTCAACCTCTTGCAGAGGTCCAATTCAAAAGGCCAGAGAGTTTGTGTGGGAAAAATCTCTGTCATCTGGATCCAGCACTACCTAGTCTGCGTGTGCTGTATGGATTGCATGAGCCAATGTGTACCTGGCTAATTCCCTTGCATGTCTCCTTTTGTGTCCTGTCCTGCAGGGAGCCTCTTCAAGCCTGGTGGTGAAGTTTGCAGATACAGACAAGGAGCGTACGATGAGACGCATGCAGCAAATGGCAGGACAAATGGGCATGTTCAACCCCATGGCCATCCAGTTTGGAGCCTATGGTGCCTATGCACAGGTAGTAAGTATAAACATTGCCTCTATGCATGTTCACAGGGACAGGAATAGCATGTAGAAAGCACAAAAGCACACGTGAGCAGAGAGACAAGTACAACAGCAAAAGAGGAACAAGTGATTTCTTCATTAGTTGAATGATGGGAGCAAACTGAGCTGTGTCATCCTGGGGTAGGTGAGGGCATCTCCCAGACAAGCTCCAGAGGTGCAATAGTTGCTTGTAGTAGTAACCAGTCCATGTGTGTACCTATGCAAGACAGTTCCCGTGGCATCTAAGCCATTGCTGTTAAATCCAAACACAACTAACCTTTGAGTTTTGGGAGCAAAATAGGCCCTGAATTTAGCTCACCCTAGTTCTCTGTCCCATGTCAGAGTTGTCTGGCCCCAGAGAAGGTTTTTAAAGGCATAAATAACTTTCCTGTTCTGCTAGGCCACACAGATGGAGCTGAACAGTGGACATGGCTCTTTGCTCCATTTGGCCAAACTCCTTCTGCCCTGTGCATCATTGGGGGTAACTTTGGAGTGATCATGGGATAAAATAGCAGCTGCTGAAAGAAGTGCTTTTATGTTTATGGAAGCATGCTAGTTTATACTAAAATGGAAAAGCAGATATATGCACACACACAGTTCTGACTCCCCAAAGCAGTATTGTTTAAGCACCCTGGGAGAACACGTCAGCTATTCAAAGCATTGTTGTGATGTCTAACTTTTGGTATCTATCTTACACACCTAACCTAGACGGTGGGCCTTTGGGACATTCATGACTGGACAGGGAGCTGGGCTACTGACATAGTCCCGGAATGGATGCTTCTAGCATAAGTACCTTTCCTTAGGCTAAAAATAACAAGGATCTGCAAGACAAGATCAGATTCAGGTCTCTCTGCCAGGTAGAGATGATCCCTGCAATAGGCAGACACAATACTGCCAGGTGACTTTGTATGACTTTTCTGGAGTTGGGAAGATGGGAAAATGCAGAAGAGCAAAGCAAGAACAAAGGAAGGAAACTTGGAAAGTGACAGATACTGTATAAATTATTTAATTTTTAAATTATTTAAAATAAGATCAAAGTCATAAATCAAGTTTGCATAAAAAATAGGGTGGGAGTGTTAGCCACAGTCTCCTGGCCAAATTCCAGTCATGGCACTGATTGTATCCTGCAGCAGGGGACAGGCATAGATTTAGTGAGTGAAAATAGACAGATGGGGACAGAGGCAGAATAGACAATGGTAACATTTGCTTTCTGGCCTAGAGCAAGTCCTTTCCCCTCAGTAAATCCCAGCTCCCCTCCCTCTGAAAAGGTGAAAATGTCTTTGGCTTCTAAACTGCAGACAGTAACTGCAACACATCCAGCACTGCACAGATCTCAGTCATAATCAGAAGTGGTCACCTTGGGATTTTGGGGTGGCAATGACTCTATGGTGCTGACCATGAAACCTAGCTGGTCACCTCTGCCTCCCTGCTCCAGCTCCTGGGGAGCTGAAAGGGTTTTTCTGCTAAATGATTTGAGGTAGTGCTGAAGGGAAGAATCACTCTTTCCAGTGTTTATTCAATTTGTACTGTAAATTTATTTTGGATATATCTATATATACATATATATTAAATCTAGCCCTACAAAATCAGGGAAAATTTTGCTTTATATAGACTGTGTTCTGCATAGCATTATTTTATTTAAATGACCAAAATAGGACAGTATACTTGGTAAATGCTACCAGTTACGCATATCAGTTGTTCTGATCTGTTCTAGAAGAGGAAGCTATTTTGAAGTCATGGTACTTCATAGCAGGGCTAATACCATATTTCTGATTGTCATTTCCTTGGTATTTCAGAAAAACTGAGTAGCAGGGAATGAACCATGACATGGCCATTTGCACATTTGGGCTCTGTTATACATTCCAAGTCAATTTTGCTTTATAAGATTTATTTATGGGGTTAATAAAAGGCAAGTAAACAGTGCTGGGTGTGCGGGGAGTCTGGGCTCCTCCAACATACACACACGTTACATCAGGTGGCTGGTTTTTATGCTCCTAGGCTAATATATATTCATTACTACTTCTAGAAAAGGCAGGGTTATTATAATTAGTTCACTCGAGTGGAACCACGACAACATGACCAGCTGTAGGTCACTACATATTTTGTGTGTTTGTTCGTGCAGCTCTGATCAGGTTTGGAGGAACACAGAGAAAAGTCAGCAAAGGCCAGACTGGGACTGACCCCAGCCCTTGCAACTGCATCCATCTCAGAGAGATGCTACTTGGATCAGCAATGTTAAATGGATCCTATAGGCACAGATCTTGGCCATCATTTCTGCAACCAGCCAATTATATCCTCAGCTGTCCCCAGGTGAAAATACCTGGCACAGAAAATGAGATATGGGTCAGTACACCCAGTGCTGGAGTCAATCCAGTGTTAAAGATGGATGGATTCCCCTTTTTTCATTCACTTTCATTGGCATACTTAATAAAATCACCTGCTCAGTGCCTCATTTGGAGAATAAACTCAAATGATGCCTAGAAACAAATGTACTCCTTAAAGGGGAATCAGCATTGTGCTATAATGGAAAAGATTGTCTAATCATTCCATCAGTAATTACAAAGAACAGGATATCACTAATTAAAATGTGAAAGAGTCTTATGCAAGGTATAATAAAAAAGGGTAATTAACAGTCAAAGGAGAAGCCACCACCTTGTCACCAATCTGCATGAGGCTACAAAAAATAACAGTACTCAGCTCTACTACAGCACTCTTAATCTGTAGATCTGAAGGCACCCCTGCATGGGGAGACAGATATCCTGTGCCTCAGTTTATAGCTGGAGAAACCAAGGCAAGTTTACGCAATTTGTCCATGGTTATACAGCAGGTCAGTGGCAGAGCATCCTTTAATTTTGTCTCTTCACAGATGGTGACAAGGAAATTTTCAGCATTTGAGTGAGAGAAGTGATTTAAAGGATTTGTTTCAGTGTGTATATGTAAGAACAGTCAATTTAATATTTCAATATTAAACAGTAAGGGACAGATTTTGTCATGACTTTGTCAGACTTTCTCACAACTTTGTCATAACTTTTTTGTCGTGACTTTTGAAGTCTGAGAAACATATCCCATGTGCTTAAACAACAGCATCAGAGGGTTTTCTTGATGGGAGAGAAAGTAAAATTACAGAGAGCATCAAAACTCATCCTGAAGACAGAAAAGACGTGAGTCACTTGTAATCTTTATAAAAAAAATAATTTCCTTCTCTGCTGTTATCATCAAATTGTGTTACCAGAGGCTGGGGAATGAATAGAGTGAGGTTTCAGTCCCTGCTCATCCTCTTTCAGTGGCCATTTGAAAATACCTCTCAAAAGCAAAAACAAACAAACAACAACAAGAAAGTAGCCAACAAGGAAATGCATCAGGATTTGGTTTTTGGTTACTATATATCTATTTAAAAAACCTCACAACATGTCCTATAATTCTGACTTATCTTCCCCATCCTTTCTCTAAGCATCCACCATCAGTCACTACTGGGGGTTGGACACTGTCTCACAGGACCTCAAATGTACCTTGTCTGGCTCTTTGTACAGCTCCAGGGAAGGGAGACAAGAGGCAGCTTCATCTAAGCTGTCTTCTTTACACCAGGAGCATTTTACTGGCCCACTGCAGCCATACTGTACACGTGAACTGCACTGTCCATGAATTAGGCTCAGAGTGAAAACTAATGATAGCAAAGTCTGGTTTTAATATAGGAAGCATTTCTGGCATAGTTACCCATTTTCCACCCTTCTCTTCCAAAATTCTTACTGCAAAATGCCTGAAAATATAGCCCAGGTTCCTTGTTTCTGCCTTTTGTAGGTGCTTTAGAAGAGGCAGCATTTTGATGACATTTTGGAAAAAAAAATAAATAAGGAAATCCCAGCAGCATGAGAAAGAGTGATTTTTCTCACCACCAGATGAAAATGGGTCAAGTTATCCCCAGAGAACTACCTCAGCTTACTGCTCTGGAGAAGGGATCCTCTTTCCTCACTGCTCCACATGCACTGGTCTCCCCTCAGCAGCCACCAGTGTTTTCCCAGAGCTTTGATACAAGCAACATAAGCCATGAAACCTCTCTGCTCAGGAACATATAAAGTGTTTTCTCTGCCTTTCTCATCAAGGAAGGGCCTGGCAGTCAGAGTGTTGAGTCCAGCTCACAGGAGGCCTCCACACAGGGGAACACAATGGGGATGTGGGGGCCATAAAGACCCCAAGATGCAATGATACAATTTGCCTCCTGTAGTGAGAAGGAAGGCCAAGGTTGGGGGGAGTACCACAGATGTGGTGAGCTGACATCTCAAACCAGAGGGATCCCTCACACCCCGGTGTGTGGCCTCCATCCTGGTGCTGGTTCCCCAGGCTGTTCTGCTGGTGATCGCGTGGTATTTTTTCCCTGCTCTCTTTGTTCCAGCTGATGCAGCAGCAGGCTGCGATCATGGCATCGGTGGCGCAGGGTGGCTACCTGAACCCCATGGCAGCCTTTGCCGCAGCCCAGATGCAGCAGATGGCGGCTGTGAACATGAAGGGCCTGGCGGCTGCCCCCATAACACCAACCTCAGGTAAGGGGCCGAGAGGGGTAGAAAGGGCAAAGTGCAGGAAATGCTGGCCACGTGGCAGAGGAGACATGGAAGGATGTGTTAGCTGTCAGCTTCTCCTACAGTGTTTTCTAAAATGGTGGTCTTGCTGGTGAAGGCCACCAGAAGGAAGGAGCAAGGTGACCAGATCCATTTTGGGGGCTGGAAGAGGGAACCTCTGCTGGGACTGGGTCCAGCTGGGGGTCAGTGTCTGTATCACGAAAAAGGTGCGATAGCAAAGTCAAAGAGGGGACCAGTAGTGAACTGTTGGGCTAGCAGTACGCTGTGCTGAGCAGCACTCGCTGGTTGGTTAGGAGAATGAGGGGGCTGAGACCCACCAGAGATGGGATGCAATGGGTTTTGGAGGAAGGAGGGAGCATGCCAGAAGGGAAGGCATTGGGAAGGGCTCCCAGCCATGAACCTTTGTGTTATCCCTTATACAGCTTCCCCTTAGCTCTTAGCATCAATGGAACAACATCACAAAACATCCCAGTGACCTGTGCTGGTTTATTGGTTGTTCATAGACACATGAAGGATCAGTGCTAGTGCTGTCACAACCAAGCATGTCCAAAAACAAACAAAATAAGGTTTGTGGTGAGATGCTATGTTGTTAATGAGATGAGCTGTGTCTTTGGCACACGTAAGCATTGTGCTGGTGTGAAATAGTACTGAGGTGCTCAGGGAAGACCTTTGGTGCTACCTGGAATGCAAGCATTTGGCGAGAAGGTTTCTTGCTGCTGGAGCAGAGACAGGTAGTGAAGGGCTGCCAGGGTCTAGCTAGACTGTGACAGGTCACAAGAAGCCTGTGCTAGGAGGTGGGTTATGTTATTCAGAGGCAGAGAATTAATCTGGGATGGAAACAGGACTGGCTTTCCTGGGGCTTGAAGCACAGGTCAAGGAACTGGGCAGGACAGGTAGTCATGCAGTGGCGGGTGGCCTAACAGCCAAGCACTAGGGTGGCAGCTGGGGAAAGCAGGGCCAAACTGTGAAAGAAGTGATAATTTTGAGAGCTTTGTAATGTACTGCTGACTCTGGTAGGGGAGCAGAAGATTCAAGGATGTAACTGCAGAAAAGGACCATTTCTAAGGGACAGTTTGGGATAGAAGTGTCCCAGGGGTGATGCCAGTTGTTCCTATGAGAGATACTGGAGGTGATACTGAGCTCAGTGACATGGCATTGCAGTGAGCAATGCACTGAAGCACTGAGCTAGCCTGGAGAGGAGCAGTTTGACATGGGTTTGGGTTGAGATGTGGCAGGACTGAGCTAGGCCTGAGCCAGCTGTGGTGCAGCCAGTGGTGGGAAGGCAGGATCTGGGACTCCTGCAGAGAAGAGTTGTAAGAGAGCAGCTTCACTGCTGAACATGGAGAAGTCTGCACCAGCACTGGAGCAGGAAAGGGCCAACTGACAGAGCAGCCAGGAAAGATACCTCATGGCTGAGAAACACTGGATGGCAGGGAGATAAGGTACTGCAGCAGAGCAGGCTTGGAGGCTGTTGAATACAGTTCTAATGAATCCAGTTCTGCTAACTCTGCCTGCCAAAAAAACCCTCTCCATTAACACACAGCTTAGCATCTCTTTGCAATCTGTAGCTGGGAACAATGTCAGCAACACCTGGGTCAGATTGTATTATATGAGAGGGTGGAGGGGAAAGGGGAGAAAGAAAGATAGATCTCATTCCACATGAATTTATGGAGAACCAAGAAAAAGTGCTTGACTCAAAAATCTTACACCACACATTTTGAAATATATGTTTACACAACAATAAATTTATAAACAAAGAGTCGATGAAGCTACTGTGAATCCAAATAGAAAAGTAGCTTAATTATATGTGCACCCTTTAAACCCACTGCTGGAAAGATTATCATATTTGCATTAGCTAGATTTGTTTTGTGTTGGTGGGAGCAGAGAGAATGACAAACGTTCTTTAGTCACATGGTCTAAAATTTTGGGTAGACCTGTGCGGTGCCAGGAGTTGGACTTGATGATCCTTATGGGTCCCTTCCAACTCGGGATATTCAACAATTCTATGAAACAAAGAATGCCTGGAATTCAAATGTTCTCAGGTCCTGGAAAGCTGAATCCAGGCTGTGGTTCATGATGGCCTCACCCCAAAAAGCACAAGCAATTTTGCATATAAATGTCTTGAGAATTAGCAGTCCTGTGATATAGGTGTGTAAATGCCAGTGCAACAGCCAAATCCTGTGTCTGCCATGATATCCAGGACATGAAAAATATCCTAGCTCTTCTTCCGTGTAAGTTCTGCTCCTCTTCTGATGTGCCCACTGTCTTCTGGGAACTGTTAAACTCTTATTGTCAGAATACAGGAGGAAAGAAAGGTCATGTTTTTTACATGCTTTCCAGAGCACCCATGACTGGTCATTACTGAAAATAAGATGCTGGTTTAGATGATCCCTTGATCTCTTTCATGGTGGCAGATTTTGCACTCTCCTTATGACATATTTTCAATCATGGAGCACATGCACTTTGGCATTATTGCAGATTTACCTTAAATGTGTTGCTTCCTTCATGAAAATCCTCTGTAATGGGTTGTGGAAATGTCCACTGACAATTATTCCTTGGGTGAAATGTTTAGACTTTGAAATGACTCCTTGTATTACTGCCACACTCACAAAGCTTGTGATAAGACGCATAGAAAATGTTTCACATACGTCTGAGCAAGCAAGCCTACAACACTAGCAATGATTTCTGAGTAGCCAAGAGATACCTGAAGCCTAAAGTGAATTTTCCTGATGGCTTTTGTTAGCATTCAGAAAGCCAAATGGAAAATGATCATTCTGCTTCATAGCAGGATTTCCAGTCATTGAAGTATATCTTTGTTCTGACTTGGAATGAAAATGAAACATTTCAAACTTCTGTGAAAAACAAGTGCTAGAAAAAGTGTTTGGAACATTGAGAAAAAAAAAACATGTTTTGATCTTTCCTAAGAAAAAGAAAAACTGCTAGAAAAAAAGACTTTGGTAACCCAGAATTCCTAAAGGCATTGGAGATAGTAACTGGGAACCGTGCCTCTGTGTTGGTATATTCAGGCCCTTTGTGTTCTCACCTCCCTTTCAGACCAGAACCTGCTCCTGCAGAATTCCTAATCCAGCCCCCAGGACAACAGGTTTCTCAGGTCATGGTCATGAGTTCATTGATGTTCATGAGTTCCCATGAGACCTGGGAACTTCAGGAGTCTTGGATCCAGGCAGATCTAACAGACTAGAGGCAGGGTGCATCTCACGTGGCTTTAACCATACAAAAATTAGACACCCAGTTTGAACTAGTCATCTGGCTTGCCTGCAGTCAATGCAAAGCAGTAGGCAGTCCCAGTGGGTAACTCAGACCAGAATAACTATGCTACTTGCCTGCATTTTGATGACGCCTGTGATATACTGAGTAATAATTTGTTCCAAGAAGATGGTTGATATTAATAAAGAAGGGGGAGATGTGGGAGTGTGGCCATGGGGGTCGACAAGCCCCATCATTGATGATAGCATCAGACTCTTAATGATGAGGCCATCAGGGATGTAAAAGAGTTTAGAGGGAACAAAGAAGGGTGATTCAGGAGACCCCATGCAGTCTCAGGTTGCTTGTTCTCCAGCCATTAAGGCATGGAAGTTGCTGGGTGTTTGCTGTTGCCGGGCAAAGTTGTTTGACCAATGAAAAGTTGTTTTGAAAAGGACTGCTGTGGGGAGAAGGGTATAAGAGGGGAGCCTGCCCTCAAGATAAAAAAGGCAACATGAAGATATAGAAGTATCTTCAATAAAGAAGTAGTAGTTACTGAACCTAAAAGAACCCTGGTGTCCATGTGGTCATTATGCCACAATGGTGTGAGCAGTCCCTTTCTTTGTGAGAAAATTTAGAAGATTTTTCATTTACTGCATTTTCAGAAGGCTGGTGGTGACAGTGACTTGCGGAAAAGGGACTCCACAATCAGTAAGATTGTAAAGTAGGTATGTTTATTCAGTGCTGGGCAGCATGGCGGGGGGGGGGGGGGAAGTCCCACCAAAGTCATGCTCACCTACTAGTTCCAAAACACAGTTGATATACTTTTTGATGACAGGCCCCTCCCCTGTTTCCCCACTGAGTGGGTAACCCAGGTTCACAATCTATCTGATGCTTCACAGACAGTGCATGACCTTCAGTTGCCGGCCTGTTAAATTTCAAATTTCTTTTGACTTTTTTACTGAAAGTGGTAATTGCCACTTTTGAAGTGGTAATGTTTCTTCACTTATCTGACTTGACTTAACACCATGATTTTCGTCTAATTGTTCCAAGGAGTCTGGTTGTCTGCGTTTTACAAGGTTGCCTGCTAAGTTTTCTTATCACTGCAAGCATATCTCAATACCACATTCCTTACCTTTAAACAATGTAACTCTGCAAAAACAACATTTTTATTCCCACAATCGCAAATGTAGCACTTATTCATTCTTAATCAATCGCTCTCTAATTTCTAATCCCATGTTTCAGTCCCCCCTTTTCTGGAAAATCTAGTAAATTCTTTTACTTAATACAAAAATTCTTCCCAGTCTCTAAATGTATCCCTCAATGCCTTGCCATGTATTTTCATCAAGGACTTCTACAAAAGCACAAGCAGTTCTTAAACACACACAGCCTTGACCAATATATACAAGCACAGTCTTTTGACTAGTATTTGGATTCATTTCAAAGTGGCAAACACCTTGCTCAGTGTCAAGATATACGTCCTGAGCATCAATTGTGTTGCTTTCACAGATAAAATCCTTGTTGTTCCCAGGTAACACATGATTCGAGATTTACAGACTGCCATTTCCCATTCTCCATCCGTGCCAATGTTCTATGCTCCAAAGGACAGAGCACTGTCTCCTCATGGTTTAATCCTAGTGCAATGATGGGGTAGATAACATAAACTGTGGCATTACGTATAGTAAGCACAAAGGCAGTAGCCATGTTAACAATGGGATCATAGGTAAAATTTACCAGAGTCCACCAATATTGGAACTTCT